ACATGCCAGAAACCTATGATTGTGGGTTCGAATCCCGGTTCGCCCCGATTATGTTTCTAGGTTTGTCAGCACCATACCCGTGCTCGTGGGTTTCACCGAAGTGGTAAACGTCTGAGACCTGCATCACTTCGGGCTTTCCTCCCACATTAAACTGACAAGCGGCGATATAACTGGAATACTGTTAAAAAGCGGCGTTAAACCCAACTCACTCACTCACTGACTCACTTCATCATTATCATAATCATTTGACAGTTGTGACTTAAGCCCCTAGTCCGAGACCGAGTCTACTAAAGTTTCTTGTGGTCTTGTGAGGTCAGTTTATACTGGTCTACATACTTATACTCAGATCATTCCAACATGCAAGTTTGTCATTGTTGACTTGAAAGTTTTGAGGCTCAGGCTGTTTGAGTTTTCACTCAATCATAATGATAATGCTCATTTTCATTAAAATTAGATAAACAAAGATCTGAGGACATCCCATTAAGGGTCCTGTCAGAACAACCTTTCATTCGACCAATCAGAGCGTCGCTTACCAGATCATGAAAGTGACAGTCGGAATGTGATTTCTAATCATGCAACCTCAAAGACTTTAACACTGGGTATTCCGAGCGATAGTTACGGGCTTAACAAATAAATCTATACAATCTAGACCATCTATTAGCCATCCCAGAATGTTCTTTTGTTCAGGTTTCAATTTTTTTATCAAGAATTTGTCAAGATATGTTTTGGAGCGTAGTCGCCACTTTGAAATCAGTGCTGTAAAGCACGAGAAATCTGCCTTCTGATTGGCTAATGTCGACTTCTTGTCAGTCATTCCATTGGTCGGTCAAGGTTCGCGCAAGGTCGGTCTGACGTGATCCGTAATGGGGTGTTCTCAGATCTTTGTTTATCAGTAGCGAGAACTAAGATCTGAATTAAATCAGATTGGATAATGCTGGGTGTAGTGTATACAATGAGACCCATGGCTGCTGTGATAGTAGCTGACGGTCAGCTGTTCTGCTGATTACAGCGTTACTGTTTTATATTAATTCTGCAACTGCGTCATACTGCTGATATCTAAATTAGATTTTGGTTATATTGGCTTTGGGTTATTTCCTGAGTTTGGAAATAGCTTATTAATTTAACAGTAGTCACTCGTTCAATCGCCATATCATACGACGATGCTTCTTATCAGATGTAACTCTTGACACCTGTATCAATGCATATGAAATGTACTGTCTCCATTACCATTTGTGAGAATGTTATTTCTGCAGCTTGTGACAAGTTTTACTCATGAAACTATTACAACTGTTTTATCCATGGAGCATGATTGTGAAATGGTTTTGAAAATGTTGAACGAACTTCTCAAATCTCCATATTTGAGGCTCGGTCTCGTGCATCCAACTGTTGTGAAGCTGATATTGTTTGCATGTTTGTTGTTCTGCATATGGCTGCCAAGTATACCTTGCATCAGCAGTGCTTCAACATTGTATCACTTCATATTCATTATCCACAATTCAGCATCTTATTCCAGGTACACATTTGGGGTCACGGGGCAGAATAGTCTTCCAATACCCCATGCTTGTTACGTGTGGGTTTCCGACCTGTGAAGATCCTGGTTAGAATAGGTCTTCAGAAACCCATGCTTGTCATAAGAGGTGACTAACAGGATTGGGTGGTCAGACTCGCTGACTTGGTTGATGCATGTCATCGTATCCCAATTGCGTGGATCGATGCCCATGATGTCAATCACTGGATTGTCTGGTCCAGACTGGTTTATTTACAGACCGCTGTCATATAGCTGGAATATTTCTGAGTGCGGCGTAATACAACAAACAAACAAAACATGTGGGTTTCCTGGTTAGAATAGGTCCCCATGAACATATGCCTTTCGTAAGAGGCGACTCAGTGGATGGGCTTAGTTATATGGTTGATTATGTCTCGTCGTATCCCAATTGCAAGGATCGTTGCTCATACTATCAATCACTGGATTGTCTGGTCCAGACTTGATTATTTACAGACCTCCGTCATATAGCTGGAATTTTGCTGAGTGCGGCGTTAAACAACAAACGAATGAATGAAATGAATTATGGGGATTGGGTGCTCACTGTGTATACATGGTGAACCCTAGGCATTGCGAATGGTAAAGGTTTCAACAATTTGTTTGAACCTGTTGAAAGGTTTCTCTGAGGAGGCAGTGAAATTGCTGACTATGTTCCATATTTGGAATTTATCAGCAAATTGTTCCATTTACAGTGTTGATATTATCATTAGTTTCTATGTGTATATGATTGGATGTGGTGTTACCTTGTTATGAACATGCATTGTTGACAACAGTATTGTATGATATCTTGTTATTAACATAAATGTTCTGTTTCATAATGTGTTTAATTTTATAGTCTTCAAAATTCTGTGCACACATTCCAAAAGGTTTACGGTTGTACCAGTTATTTTAGATGGTGACAATCTTTTGATTCTTTCCCCATTGGGTAGTAAAGTTAATCACTGTTCCTAGGCCCTGATAGAGTGGACCCCTGCCTACACTGCTTCATCAGTTAACTGGAAATATTGCTGACTAGAGAATTTCTTTTAAAACCCAATCGTTTTTTACTTTGAGACATCTCTGACTGTTAAACCTAATTTTTTGGTATATTCCACCTGCAATATAGCTGGGATAATCCGACTGTTGAGTGAAGTCCTTGCCCTTCATACAGTTTTTGCACCCCCCCCCCCCCCCCCCCCCCCCAAAAAAAAGGAATAGGCACCAAGTGCACAGGTCACAAAATAGGTGAAGTTAAGCAATGTAGGTCATGGAATGGGAGGCAACAGGTGGCCCAGTTGTTTAAGGCCAGCAATTCGCTGTGCAGAGTTGCATCCGTTGGGCAGGCCAGAAACCTATGATTGTGGGATCAAATCCTGTGTCGCCCCGATTATGTTTCTAGTTTTGTCAGCACCATACCCATGCTCGTGGGTTTCACCGACGTGGTAATCAGAGACATCCTTCACTTTGGGCTTTTCTTCTACATTAATCTGAGTCACCGTGATATGACTGGAATACTGTTAACAGTGGCGTTAAACCCAACCATTCACTCACTCCTTGAATGGGTAACTGTGTTCGGCAGCTTGGCTCCTGAAAGTTTCTAGGGCCTCGGTCCTGCCCCACACTGAAGCAGATGTACACATGTGGTGTGTCTCCTTGGGCAAGTGACTTCGTTCAAAATGTGCCTCTCTTCACCCAGCAGTGAATGGGTACCCGGTGAGATGAGATGGCAGTGTGTCTATTAACCAGCTTGGGTTGTATACTCCCCAGGTAGCTGAGAATGTTGAGTGCATACTGATCCGATGACCTGGGTAATAAGTCCACTTTAAGGAACCACATAGTGGATGGAGAACAGCCCCTGACAAATGCACTTATTATTATTATCACATCGTACCTTCAAGTCTGTTGAGTATCATCATTCCTTGGTGGTGTGGATTCGTTGTTCATGCTTCCAGTCTCTGGTGTGCCTGGTCCATCAGTTATTTACAGAGAGCTGTAATAGAGCTGGAATGTTAAGGAAAACCTTAATTCATTTATTTCTTGACAAAATTGATGCCTCCATTTGATAGTGAAACCGAAATGGTAATGGAGTAAATAAGAACCTTGGTTGATATGTGCCTGAGTGCATTTTCCATGCGTTATGTGCCATCACAGGGGACCCAAATAGCTCAGTCTAAGATGCTGCAACATGCTGTGCACAGTTGCTTCCCCTTAACTGCCAGGATCTGCTTCATGGTTTTGAATCCCAGATTTGCCCTAATGATCATTAGCCCTTGCTTGATCCTGCAGGCACCATACCCATGTCCGTTGGGCTCACCATATACTTAAACATCACAATCCTGCTTCACATTTAGCTTTCTCCCTGACACTGATTTGGCTAATAAACAGCAAAAAGAACTCACTTCCTGAATGATTCTTAAATTTTATCACTAAGGTGTGAGATTAGGATAATCTTAATTGTTAAAGCTACATAAATTCATTGTCTGAAGTCTTTTGCCATTAATCATTCAGTATAATGATAAATTTTCCACTGATATTCATGTTTCTACTTGAAAATAGGGTTTTTTTTACTTAATTTCTTGCCAACTTTTCCTATTCTTGTCTTGACTAAGATGTGAAATTTGTCAGTCAGTTGAGATCCCCAGACATGTATGACATGTTCTAAGTATGTTGCAGGAAACAACTGCATTCTATAGTGACAAGACGGCTATGGTGACCATGCGATCTAGGTCACCGCAACTTGTTGTGCAGAGTTTCATCCCTTGCCTGGGACAGGATCTGTAGATCATGAGTGTTACCTGATAGTAATCCTTGCAGGGCTTTATCAAGGATTCTAAATTAAGTGCCCTCGGCAGGCAAATTTCGGGTGGGGGGAATCATTATTGTCATAGGTTTCACTTTCCTAAATTGTGAAGTATTTTAACATTGCATTCAGAGCAATGTTGTTAAACTAAGCATTTAAGATTATTCCTCATTATTGGTCCTGTTATCAGTGAGGTTTTAGACAAGTTACTTCTACAGAGCCTGTCATTAGTTATAACTATGTAAACATTTATTGGAAAATGTATAATTCCAATTTGGGTATTTTTACAGACAATTGCTGCAGATTCAGGGCTGAATATCAGCTTCTGAGTAGCTCTAGATGAACCCCTGCTTTGGGTAGTCAGCACTATTCCCATGTTCACGGGTTCCATAACATTCATAATGTCTGGCCGCCATGATTATTTTAGGCATCTTGTCCTACTTATTTGGCTATTTGACCTATGTTTGGGTTATTTGACCTTCTTCGTCACATTTGGTTTGCCAACTTTATCTGATGTTTGACCCATTTAATCTGTTGCATGGCCCATTTTATCAGTTTCATGACCCACTTTATCAGGTACTTGGTGGACTTTATCCATTGCATGACCCACTTCATCAGTTACTTTACCCACTTTATCTTGACCTTGACCTACTTAATCACTGTTGTTCTACATTTCAGGGTGAAGGAGGCAAACCGGCTGAGTGTAAGCAGCAATAACCAGGTCATCATGGACGTTTCTGAAACAACATTTCTCTGAAGCACATGTGTCTTCTGCTGGTCCAACATTTCAGTCAAATTTACCTCAAATTCTGTGAATATCAAGCTTTTCTAGAACCCTTGTGTGGCTTTTGCAGGTTTCAACTGTTTATGCCTAGATGAACTGAGGGTGATGATAAAAGCTAATCCAATCTGTAAATGTGATCCTTATGGGGAAAGAATTGTAGGAATAAATATATGTCTTAATTTATCTGATATTGATAATATGCAACTAGTAAGTCCTCTCGTGCCAGTATTCCAATTTTGTAGGCTTACGACAAAAATGTGATGTTCACAAGATATATTTAGGTTGCTTTGACTTGAAAACATGGGATCCTAGTCTGGATGGAAGAGTCCACTTCAGACAGAACATGCCTGAATACTGGTTGCCTCACTGAACACCCTTTGTTCAGAATGGAATGGACCTTGTGCATGCTTCGAGTTTCAGTCAGGACATTCACGGAGGTGCATTGAATGTGTGCATACTATATCATGGACAACATATTTTTTGGAATCTTCCACTGTAAATGGACTTTTCGAAGGATTGACTACTTTACTGCTCATTAAAGGACCAGAGTCAACGTCGGCTGGTTTCCATGGTTATGCTGTCGGTTGTGTCGCAGCTTTTGCATTTATCTGTTTCTTCTATCATTGATAACACCACTTCTGTTGAACTTCTCTGTTTGGACGTTTCTGAAATTCTAGTTTAGAATTCATGTTAATTGCTCAGAAGTCCCGAATCTCTTCTCCTTGTCAAAGTTGAAATTTTGATGTACTAGTTACTGTTTGGTGTTAAATGTTGGCAAAGTGAGATGAAACTTGTTGGTAAATGCCCTGTGCCAGGTCCAGTTAGCAAGCAAGCTTGAGCAGCAACTGTTATAGCTCTGTTGATGTATTAGAACTCAACAGTTCGAAATGCTGCACAGGCTTTCTGGAACCTAGGCCTGTACTTAAAGACTTCAGCAATTATTTGTGAATTCTACACTTCTAATACAGCTTTTTCATGTCGCAGTTTTTAATGTGAAAATGAAATAAACGCCTCTTATTTTCACAAGTATTTAGTATTTACTTCAGAGCATATTTTTGTAACGAATGAACACGATGAATGCAAGGTAAACGTGCTAAAACTTCAGGATTGTTTTGATCTTTCATTTGAGATGCTAGCAACCTGAGAATGATATTATATTGACAGACTTCTTCAAATCATTGAAGGAGGTATTGTTTAGAGAAGTCAGAATGTGATCTGTCATGAGCTGATGCAGTTATAAATATCAATCAAATGCAGGAGAACGGACAGTGATAGCTGGTTACTTAGTAGCTTTTGAATGGCTACGGTGAAATGGAAATGTTGGGAGTTTGAAACCCATATTGAATTATATTTGACCTTGGTGAAGTGAGATGATGTAAATAAAATTCTACTGTCACACCAGTAGTCAGTCTACAAATTCACCCAGCAAGCCTACTATCCCAAAAAGGTGGTTGGCTGACTCAGAAAATACCCAGTTTCTGTTAGCCATTGAACTTGGCTGGGGTTGAGAGCTAACTGAATCCCTTTTGTGATCAGATTGTGCCCTTGAGGATGTGGATTTGAATACACATTTGATGCAGAGCTCGGACATTTTTTGCACATTTCATTTTGGAATTTAAGTACACCCTAAGCTAAACCGACCCTTAATTGAAATATACCAATTGGCGATTCCTCTGAGACGGCTTCAAAACAGCTGTTCTAGATTCTCAAGTCTCGTCAAGCACAAGATGCGGACCATTACATTTTCAACTTTCAAAGAGATAAACTTTCTATGCATGGAATTAATGGTGCAGAATGAAGGAACGATATGCTGTGTATCTTTCATACGTCAAAGATGGATAAGCTGTCACAGGATCATGTTATAAATTTTCTTTGTATTTGATGATGTTGGTGGAATTATTAATCATATTTGTGCATTAAATTGTGGGCATTTTTTCATGTTGTGTGTTTGTACAGCTTTTGTCTAACTTTATGATTTTATTATTTAAATTATTCACACAGCTCCACACATTCTGAAACAAGTCTTGAAATTTAGAAAGTGTTCTGTTTGTGAATTCAGGTTCAGGAAATTTATTTTTCTATTTACTGGAAGAGGGGAACTAGTGTTCAATTTTAATTCTGATTTGTTAAAGCATTTTGTTCATTACAGGGTTTTTTAGGACTTCTTAACACTAAGTACTAGGTATTAAATGAAAGTGTTCCAGTGAGGGAATGGCATGATGGGTGACATTTTATTTTGAAAACTATAAAATCTTTGTTTTGTTGTGTGATGTTTGTGAGAGCTCATCTCATGACTGCTTTGGTTATATGTATGCGTCCCTCTGATGAAGTCCAGTATTTAATGTCTTGTTGAAAACCACATTTTCTGTGATATGATAATTGTAAACTCTTTGAAGCAGCAGGCACCAAAACAATAACATGACTTCATTTTGTCATATGCATTCTTTAATTTGGGCCCCTTCTTTTGAACAAGTCTGGGATAAAGCTGCTAGCAAATTATGCATGATTTTTGTAATCTATACAAATCCATAATTATTTGTCGTAATTTGATTTTATGTAGTTTTCATTCTCATTCACATAAAACTATTTCTGTATAGTTTATTTTAGTGTGGATGTTTTATATGAAAAGGGAAAACAAACAATATCTTTGAAACTTAAGCTGGTTAAGCCAGGAAAGATTCGTCAGAACCAGTTTAAGTTTCCACTTCTCTTATGTTCAGCTTATCCCATTGTGACCTGGTATTCAACTGACTTTTATTGCCTAAAAGCTGATAAACTTGTCTAACTGTACACATGTGTTTGTCATTACTAATCCACTGGTACTAAAATGACAGGCAAGAGCATGTTGAAAAGGGAGACAACCTGGTTGGATTATGTGTCTATTTTGATAAGTACCTTACTACCCATTCATCACCATTTCTTTGTTTTGAATGGAATCGGGAGATATTCTCAATAATGCCACAAAATTTAAAAACATAATTATTGTTGAAATTGTAACATACAAAAGTTGTCCCTCATTTTCTGGGAGGGGTGAAGTAGCCTAGTGGTTTAAGTGTTCACTCTTGGCTGAAGACACCGGTTAGATTCCCCAAATTGATACAATGTGTGAAAGCCATTTCTAGTGTCCCTCCATTATATTACTGGAATATTGCGAAAAGCAGTATCAAACAATACTCGCTCATTCATTCCTCATTTTCAGAAGCACTGTCTATGTGAAATCTCTGAGTTGTGAGGGGGGCACGGGTGGCCCAGTCTTAGGCGCAGCAATTCGCTGTGCAGAGTTGCGTCCCTTGGTCACGCCGGAAACCTATGATTGTGGATTCGAATCCCGGTTCGCCCCGATTATGTTTCTAGGTTTGTCAGCACCATACCCGTGCTCGTGGGTTTCACCGGAGTGGTAAACGTCTGAGTCCTGCATCACTTAAGGCCTTTTATATATATATTCGGACGAGCCAAAAGACACCTTTTTTTAATTCTGGGATTGCAAAACAAGGTACATATCAAGTAAAGTATTCATGTGAAAAAATCTTTGAATCTCATTTAACATGTTCCAACAAATCAGACTGTCCACACATTTCCCAATGATACAAGGTTGGAAATAGCCACCCAGTGATGTTGCACTTGTGACATTCTGTGCTATGAGATTGAGGCAGGAGCGACATCACTTCCGAAGTTGGGCGGTCGGGTAGCCTAGTGGTTAAAGCGTTCGCTCTTCACGCCGAAGACCCAGGTTCGATTCCCGACATGGGTACAATGTGTGAAGCCCATTTCTTGTGATCCCCGCCGTGATATTGCTAAAAGCGGTGTAAAACCATACTCACTCACTCACTCACTTCCGAAATGAAACTGGGGGGATGAAATGGTCGAGGGTATTATCAAATACCCTGTCGATATAATGTGGATAATCGATGATGTGTGGGGCGAGAAACAGTTATGGCTTGATCTTGGAATGGGCTGTAGTTGAATTCGTAAGCAAGCTAAATCGTAGACCCCTACAAAATGCAGGGTGAAGTCGACAGCAAATCATATTGGGAAATAGATTTGAATAATTATTTATTGCAGATTCATATTCAATTATAATGTGGCAAAGGTATTTCAAATGTTAAATTTTATATGACAATAAATGCTTAACAACTCTTTTATTGCACTTTGCTAGAATATCAAACAGTTTGATGATAATAATTATTCAATTCCAAAATAAAAAAGTCTAAGAATTCACTCCCGCTTTGTCTACGAATTTCCTGTAAATTGTGTCGAAAAGTTGACGGTGTCAACGAATTAACCGCTGATGTGTGGTGGCGAACCGCTTCCAGGCTGCCGTTGTTCAAAGCGATCTAACTCCCATACCTCATCATTGACAGACGTACGACAGTTGTTGCGCTAGGGTTTTTTTTGTGGTTTTTTTTTTTTTTACAACGGCACTCAGTAGTTCATTTTGTAATTACCCCAGACAGGGGTTTGAAAACCTGGTTCTTTTTTTTTTAACTTTGCAAAAACTAACAATTGTGGAAAATATTAAAGCATGATGTCCGAAATTGCCGAGAGCTGATTGGTCAAATATGAGAATTTCCCTCGGATTCCCGAAGTTCCGGGAATTTTCCTTCTAGAATGCACTCATTTTACTCCTTGCTTTTAAAAGTTTATTTTCTAAACCCCCCTACACTGTAAAAAAACAAATTCTCATGTCTGGATATGTAGCACAACAGTGGATTTGGTCATGACAAGAATGAAGGTTCTTTTTTAAGATTGGAAAATGAATTGCATATTTATACAATATCAGATTGTGGGATATGTTTACGTACCAACATGGTACCACTGTGCCCATTAATGACTGAAACAATGAGGATATATACATTTCAAACTGCTTCACAAAATGTTGCGATACTTTTCATGGATAAGACAATATAAGATTAGTCTGTCCTCTCAAATCAACCATATTTTCCTCTAGTTTGCTGAGGATCACCACTTTATAAGGTGGTACGTCAAATTGTGTGCTTCTGTCATGAAATAGCCAAAGACAATATTAATCAGTCACATCACCCGTCAAAATGGGAGTATCTGAGCAAAACTGAAACGTCCAACACAATCGGCGAATACCAATTCATTGTCCAAACAAACAACTCTCAGTGGAGCGTATGTGGTCAACGTGCATGATTCGATCACAGCCTGGCACCGTCGTCTCATGCTCCCAATAAGTGTGTGAATAGTTGCGAAGGGAAGATTGTCCACTCTTCAGTATGAGCATTGCCGTGTTACGTGAAGGACAGGGCGCCTTGAGAGGGCGATCTGCAGCTCGTTCCACATGTGTTCGATTGGGTTGAGGTCTGGTGACCGGCCTAGCCACTCCATGCGGAAACCAGCCTTACGGAGGCGATTACGCTCTGTGTGAGTAGAAACGTACACGCCACTGGCGGTCCGCGGTCATTTCTGAGTGTGGTGGCAGTCACGAAGTGATAAGGAAAAATATTTCTTCCTGCAGTGTGTTGGAACCACCTGTATGTCGCTGGGTTTGTTTGTTGTTTAACGCCACACTCAGCAGTATTCCGGCTTTATAACGGCGGGCTGTAAATAATCGAATCTGGACAAGACATCATGAGCATCAATCCGCGCAATTTGGATACGATGATATGCACCAACCAAGTCGCTCCTTACGACAAGCATAGTCGCCTCTTACGACAAGCATGGGTTGCCGAAGACCAATTCCAACCCGGATCTTCAGGATATACTGCATGTGCAAGCTGTGGCTTGTTTGTGGTTCATTCTTCCCCGCCCTGAAGGCGGGGAAGTATACGGGAAACGTTAATTTTGTAGCATGTATGTCGACATGTTTGTTTACGGAATTTACGGAAACAAAACATACAAATCATGTGCGTGGAATGTTGATGCTATTCTTTTCCAGCAATAAGAGATACTTCAAAATCGTCTTTATGTAGTGAATTGATGCATCTGACCGTTTCTGGTCATTAACTGACATTATCAAACCATTCATGTGTAATCCGATGTCCTTTTTTCCTCAAGGACTAATTTCCTGATTTTCACGGTGTATACAAAAGAAGAACTGAACTCCGGAGATCGTAAATAACAGCATAATATAAAATATGTTCTGAATATGCTTATTCATGAACAACGACGACATCTCTATTTAAATGTAATATGGCTGAATTCCACATTCTACATACCACACTTCACTGTTCACTGGAAATGTTTGGAATACTTATATTCCGTATCTGAATTAACCCAGTCCCCAGAGTTTTTTTAATCAGTGCACCGCACATAGCCAAATGTGAAACGTTTGGTAGCAAAGTCAAAGCAAAATCGGAGTAGTGTGTCGGCGAATCTTCATCAAGGCTGTAGTATTTTTCAACCGTTTAATGGAATTCAATGCACAGCCGTAACTCTGGTCACTATCATATATTTTGTGTCCCATGGCTCAAATCTATTTGCGTCTGTACCGTGTTCCACTGACCTCGATAATCTGTTGGATGAAGGCACAGCTCTTTATAGTCACATAGTTAACACCGAAGGCTATGATGGGTATTTAGGTCATAATCAGCTCCCAGCATTGCAGCCACTGCCTCAAGCGACATTGTCTATATAACAGATCAGTTTTATGGCCCCGTAACAGGTGCTCCAAATATTGAAGCAGGGAAAACAAATTGCATAGAATCATTTCACCAAGCAATATTGATATTCCAGTCACTTTTTGTAACTTTTAATGATGTCTCCATTGCATTTTTTACGGATTTTGATTCGTATGCATTATTTGACTCTCATCAACGGAATGGATTGGGTCAGATTGATCCGAATGGACAAGCAGTTTTACTTCTGTTTAGTAGTATGGATGAATTATTATGTTACATCTAAACAGTATATCAGGCGACTATGCTTGTCGTAAGAGGCGACAAACGGGATCGGGTGGTCAGGCTTTGGTTGATGCATGGCATCGATCCCAGTTGTGTGGATCGATGCTCATGATATTAATCACTGGCTTGTCTGGTCCAGACTCGATTATTTACAGACCGCTGTCATATAGCTGGAATAGTGCGGCGTTAAACGACAAACCAATCAGTCATCATCATATGAACTCAAACCAGTCATTGTTACAAGTAAACCACATTCCACAACAGTTACTGACACTGGATAAAAAAACAGTACATAGAAAAAGACCAATTAACTCAACTCATGATCACATTTACTATTCTTTGAAAGAAAGAAATACAAAAAAGAAACTGACCAAAAAACGTAATACAAGAGACGAGGAATCTCCGTTATTGATTATTCATACGTGATAAAATTTTGAATATGTGCATCTGTGGTTGTGACAAAAAGACCTTATCTAGTATGACTTTTTTGCCATATGGAGCCCTTAGTATTTTCATTTACATTATTATAACCGAAAGCCAAGTGTAAAAAGAATGTGTTCTATTATTTGAGTATGTGCATCTGCCAATGTTGTTGGTAGTTTTGATACTATTTCCACATGTTTACATTTGTGCCAGAAATTGCTTCCATTTCCTTCGATCTACTTTTTAAATAAAGACCCAGGTTAAAATAGGTCTTCAGCAACCCATGCTTGCGGTAAGAGGCGACTAACAGGATTGGCCGATTTGGTCGATGCTTAACATCATTTTCCAATTGCGTAGTTCGATGCTCTTGGTGTCAATCACTGGATTATCTGGTCCAGACTGGATTATTTACAGACCGCCGTCATATGGATGGAAGAAACTATTTTTGAGTAGACCTTCCCTATACAAATGTATTGCCCAATACTCAAAATTAATATAGAAAAT